TGTGTGTGTGTGTGTGTGTGTGTTTGTGTGTGTGAGAGAGAGAGAGAGAGAGAATGGGGTGGGGATACAGAGATAGAGATGGAGCGAGAGTGAAAGAGGGGGTGAAAAAAAAAAGAATTGTGCGCAGCATTGCATGAGAGTAAGAGGACATACACACACCGGCACATGCTCATACACACACAGAGAAAGAGAGAAAACAGGAGAGAGCTGCATGTGAACGTGCCACCTTTCTCTTTCAATCGGCCTCTGGAGACAGTGCAAAGGGCCGTTTGGTGGCTCACTGCTGAGATAAGAAGCAAGGGATGGGGCTTCAGAGACTCGCAGAGCCAGCTTTTTCTCTATAGGATGGAAGCACCCTTTTCAATGTGAACTCATTTGCTGTGTTGTGTAATTGTGGAGCATAATGGAGCGCGCCTCATTCAAGCCTTTTTTTTTCTAAAATAAATTCTGAAGCCATTTTCTCTATTCATGGCCAAACAAGTCATGTTTCAGAGAGATATTATGCAGTCTTTTGAGCTCAGGGCCACCACAAATTTGCCTTTGAAAGGAATGTTTTGTGTAATCAAGATAAATTTTTTGCTCTTTATAAAAGAGACGCTGCCATCCAGCTCCATGTTTGCCACCTGACTTCTGCCCTCGCTGCTCACTGGAAGTAAACACAGTCCTGACCTTCCCCTGTCTGTGTTGTAACGTGTTTGTGAGGAGACAAACTGTGTTTTAACAGCTACTGATCGCTGGAAATTACTGACTGAATCAACCTGCCACTAGAATACAGCTATAAACAATAAGGAGTGTGCATCGTAATCATTGGAGAATACGCTGYTTTACTTCCTGCACGGTCAAATGAATATCAAAGCAGAGATGAAAAATGACTGATTTGAAAATTATTGCTGAGCTTTTTCATTAAACCACCGCAGGCAAGGAAAAAGATTGCTATTTGCATAATTTAACTGGCATCTTAATTATTGTGTCAGAAATCTGTATGCAAATGATTTAAGTCACTTAGAAAGGAAAACTTACTTGGCTAAACAGCTAATGGACTAAATCTTATCAAGTCAGAATACACATCGTGAGTGGAACCAGAGTTGAAAATAGTTGACAATGACAAATAAAAAAGGACAAAAGAGAGGACAGAAATTAGCCGAGAAATGCAACCTTACCTGTGTCAGCTGGAGAAGTGAGTGTCGGTGCATGTGCAGGACTGTGCAAAAGTTTTAAAGCACCCTCAGTAGTTAAACTTTGCTTCCAAGGACTCAGACTTATTTCCTAAAGTGGTCTTAATTAGTTGCTTTCTAGGCTTTCTGAATTTATTTCAGTTGTCTTTTTTTAAATAAAATTTCTGTCCAGTATTTATACCTGACCAAGCCAGCAATGCTGTGCCGTGTTTGCTTAAACAATAGGAAAACAAACAAGTGGAGAACAAAACAAGAAGTGACAGCACATTAAAAGTATGTCTTTCAGCAACAACTAACCCTGCAAAGAATGAAATAAATGTTTATCAAATAAAGTCTAATGTTACAACTAATCATGGATCCCTTTAAACAGACAGAGGTCAATTTCAGGCATTTAGATTGCTATGTCAGAGCATAAGGGATGACTCAAGACTTTTGCACAGTACTGTAGTTTTTTTGGAGTGGGGAGCATTTGGGGTTGTTGAAGGACCTACCACGTAAAACAGTCAGTCTGGTGGTAGCGCTCGTCTCTCCAACACCGTTGGAGGCGACGCATTCATATATGGCTTCGTCTCGGGGCGTGCGTAACGGCTGAATTCGTAGCACTGAACCAGACCCGTCGTCGAACTCAATCACCTGCAGGTGCGAGAAACAGGATTTGTTAAAGGAGATTTTTTTGTTCACAATGGATTAGGGACCCTCCACAGAAAAAAAAAGAATAAAGACAGACCAACAACACTGATGGTGACTGACAAAATGTGCTTCCTATGACATAAACGAAAGCTGTTTCCTACCTTAGTGAGCCCTAGTGTTTTGTGTACATTTTTGAAGATTTACTGTATGTGTAACGAAATCAGCTTAAAGATATGTGTTAAATTATATTGCAGRAAATCTGTGGGTATTTAGCAAATTTTATAGAAAAACAATTATACTGTGTCCAGGTGAGTTTCTTTTACAGTAAATACAGCTTTGTAAATTAACTTGTAAAAAAATAACAAATGTGGCTGACTAACTTTAAGAATGGGGAATGTGATGCTCCTAGGGACATTGTTTTTCCTCAGATCTTGGGGTTGCAGGGTGCAAATTGAAGTTTCAATGTTTCCCACTCTTAAAGTTAACATTCAATTCCCTGAAGAAAATGCATCACACTTGGTTGTGTCAATGGGACAGAAAACGAGCACAAACAGTTAAACGTGGCTTTGATAATTTGTTACGGAGAGACAGTTGCACCATGAAGTGAAGATAGTGGTACAAAAGACAGGACCGACTGTTTAGGACGGACGAAACATAAAATGCTCACAAACAGGTGTTTGTTGTAGCTTATTCAGCTATCGTTGCATGCTACGTGTTGTATACTCACTGATTTTAGAAAGGTCTGTCATAACTCAATCTCTTTTAAGCATAGAGGTAGATTTGAATAAAACATAGGCCGGAGTTCTATCCCTCTCTCTTGCGTTCTCTTACACACACACATGCATTCACACAACCACACAGAGGCCTTCAAACATTTTAAAGTACACAATATATTTGAGCATGTGTTAGTTAACAAAACACTAACATTTCTTTAGCCAAGCCAAAGCAGTGTTGGCATTCAAGGTGTCAGCAGGTGATGGTAAAAACAGCCTCCTTTCTTAGCTCGAGCCAAAGAGCAAATTAGAAAGGAAGTTGTGGGGCTTCCAAAAGGAAATGGGTTTTTGTTAGAAGATGAGGTGGCAGCGYGTGATTGAATGGGTGCAGAATTGCGGCAGCCAGCAAGCCCTGTGGGGCGATGGATGAATGAAAACTAATGTGTTAGCATTCAACTCAACATGCGATGCAAACGCGATGAACTCTGATAAGATTAGATTTCTTTGGGCATGAGAAGCAAAAAAGAGGTGGGAAGAGGTCCCTGAGCTCCATTAAGGCATTGCTGGTTTGTGGAAGCTAACAAACAYGGCAACTGGAGCAAAGTTGGGGGGGTTGACACCTCGATAGTCCTGAGGACTGACACAGAAATTAATGGAAATCTTATCAGTGCTCTGCAATGATATGGTGATGATACTGAGCGCAAGTGCAGATTAAAGCTGACCAGAAATCAAAGCTTCAGCCAAAATAAAAAGAGTAAGTCATGCATTAAGATAAAGATGCCACAAAGCAAAAGGAACTTTCGTAGAGAAAGTGCTACTTCCCCTTTCCTTTTGCATGAAACTGGCAAATGTGGCGTGATGCTAATGTATGGATCTGGGTCACACCACACTTTGGTTTTCCTCAGTCCAATTGCTTTCTTACAGAAATGTATTCAATTATAAATTTGTCTCTGGATCTTTTGTATGCTTTCTTATTAAAAGTCATGCAAGTTTAAAGGCTTGGTCAGCATGATTATTAGAGCTCGCTAATGCGTGGTGGCATGTTGGGGCGAGAAGYAAGCCAACGGGTATCGGAGCAATGGACTGTTGCATGCAAGCAGAGCCAAAAGCAGTGCTGAACCATTCCCATTTTGTCGAGCATTTTACATCAGAACAATAGACCTAATACCTCAAATCTCTGGTTGCTGACTTTCTTCCCCTTCTTGTTCCACACAATCTTCGGCCGTGGATCTCCCGTGGCTTGGCAGATAAAGGATGCCACGCCTCCTTGCACGCCTGTTTGGTCAGTGGGGGTTCTTAAAAACTTTGGTGGTGCTGAAATAAAAACAAATAATTATGGGAGTTAGGAACAGTAGTAGTGTTCTTTGCAAATGCAAAATTTTGTACAACTCTCCATTTCTTAACAGTTTTTTTTTATTTCAGTGCAACTCTTGCAAAGAAGCAAGGATAAAAAGAATAAATGTGAAACAGTGGCCTCACCACAGCATTGACAATGTTTGTTCTCTGGTCTTTTTACAGCTTTTTTATGCTTTTGTTTTGATTTTTGACTATGAAAAAGAGGGTTGTAGTTTGATTTTTCGATTTTCCCTGTAAAAAATAAAAACAAGTCATGCTTTGTCAAACATTTGTCATTTTACTTTTAATTTTCAGTGGTTGAGTTGGGTAACATTTTTTTTTCTTTTCATGCCTTCAGGACAATCAGATTCTACTCGCGAGATGACAGCTCTATTACAGTCCCAGAAAAAATCAAAACACATGAAAGYGATTAGTAATCAAAGAAACTCGTCTCTCCTGGATGAGGTTTTGTTTTTTGTGGATATTTTATATTTTAGCTCGCTTGTGATGATCAAAGTTCTTTTAATTTCAATGACAGGGAATGTCAAATTGTTGAATAAGGACCCCACACCCCACTCCCTCCCAAATATTTTTCTCTAAAGTTCGAGTTCCAGCTTTACTAGGAGGTGTGGCTCCATCTGTCTCCCTCCCACCCGCAAAGTGACTGTCTTTTATCAATCATTTCAACAGGCCGTTAGAGGCCACACAGCTGCAGTAATGCCAGCCATCTGAATCGCTTCATCTGTATGTGTGAGGACATGCCATTGTACACGTCTTCGTGCCTGTCGATGTGCCAAACGATTTACCCCCGCCCATCCCAGACTGTGTAGTGCCCAGAAGCAGTGKCAGGCAGTGCTGCGATTGAGGGACAAATCAACCTGCAGAAATCGCGGAGAGGTGACATGTGATCTGTGGCCAGCAATCAAAAGGGCGAACAGATAAACAGGCAAGCAGCTGGGCTTCCACTGGGCAAATGAATCTGGGAAATCACTCTATTTCCTTGTGACGCACTGCTGCCTTGAGTGCTTACGGACATCAACGACCCGCTGCCCTCTCAGTCACCATAAAACCACTTTTAAAACCACTCTAAACAAATATTCCTCTAAATCTTTTGCTCATTTACCAGCAGGAAGATCCCACAGGTGGGCAGCTAAGTTGATACAATTTGTGCATTGCGCAAAATAATATCTGCATATTCACGTTTTCTCATTGACTTGGCTGAGGGGGAGTGGTATGCACCGCCATTCAACCAGGAAGGTTCTGATGGGTAATTGATATGCTATTGGGGCTGTTTTCGCTCTGGGGCCATCCATTATGGCTCCCTTCGCTGGCTGTAATAGACTTCTACGGCATGTACGGGAGATCAGCTCGGAGGTGAGAGGAACAGGGTGGGTGGGGGAGCCATAGCACAATGGGGAGTGATTGAGGCGTGACATGGAGGTAATGGTGTTTTCAAAGACATGGCTGCTGATATCGCCATCATACACTCATTTTAGTTCTGCTGCTGACAAACATCAATTTTGAACGACTCCTCGCACGGCTTCGGGTAGATAGAGGCTGATTGAAACCTTGGGTTTTTGTCCGAACAATGCCGTGACTAGAACCATGACAGCAAACAATAAGATACGCTCAGTGAACAAACATTGTGCGAACCTGTGCATCAGAGAGAAACCTTGGTGCAGAACCCAGATTTTGTTTCTTGTTTTATTGCACTGATTGTGCTAGAAAATGACACCTACTGCATACTAAAATATTTGAACAATATCAAGGAAGTATAAAATTGCATTTGCTGTGGTATTGGCTGTAATCATTTTCATTTAAAGGCATTAATGTCATTAATATGTAATAGTAGGTATGCTTTTTTTGTTAGCAAAATGAGTTTAAACTGAAAAAAGCTGTTCATACTTAAGCTGCACATCTCCTCAGAGAGGGAACCGTAACCTAAAATAATTAATACTCTGACTGGGAAACTTAATCCAGTGTTAAGCCGTCACCAGCAAACAAATGAGAAGTGTAAAGCCTTTCACAAGCTGAAAGGTTAGTGTCAAGGGTCTGTGCCTGGCCTCCCTAGAGGTCATTTATGTAACCTTGCTCATTCACTGCTACAGAAAGGGAGGAAGCTGGTCCCAGCATCGTACAGTCCCACAGAGGAATGCCATGTTCATAATTAGATATCAAAATGAAAGCCTTTGTTGCTCTTTACAACAGTCATGCCATCAAAGTTGAGGGAAAAAACTGCAGAATAAACAAAAAAAAAAACGGTTTTGTTTTTCAAGCTAAAGATGTTTGCATTAACTTATATAAACATTTTGAAACTGGAGGAGTTTTTGAGGGCAGAAATCCACTAATGCATGACGTTCGTCGCTTTACATGTCAGACTTTTTTTTTTTGAGTGTTTTACAAAGATCTTTTGCAATCTGTTAGCTCTCACACTTTGAGTCATCGGGGGATCCACAATAGACTTAAGTTTGATCTCCCAGCCTATTAAAGAGCGTAAATCAAAGACTGGCGAGAGAAGAACATTAATAAACCGACTCTGAGTTGACGCCTCCTTTTGGTGTGGACCTCGGCCTGAGACAGCTCGGTTTTCATAATTACACTGACTGACATATTCAATTTCATTTGCATGAAAAGGGCCATTTCCTTTTTGAATCTTTAACTTGCTGGGTGAGGTGGGGTTGCGGAGGGAGGGAGGAGGGGGGGTAATTAATCCTAACACATTGGGTGGCAGCCTGCAAATTCGCTGCCTTGCTGTGGACATACGCATTGGAAGAAAAGCAGCATTTAAAGATGCCATTAACCTCGTATGACATCTGAAAGCCGCAGCGTATCAGTTCTATGATATTGATGAATTGTCACAATGGCAGCAAAAGTGAGGCCAAATAGACTGAAAGCGGGGTGATGTCTAATGACCAGAGAGAGTAAAAGTGGCATACAGGACGGTGTATACTTTGATCATTTAAATTTTTAGCAATAAAAAAGTGAAATATCACCATCTGAGAACAAATAAAGACAATGAAGGATGTGTTTGTTGATTATAAAGGCAGCTTTCTTAGTGAATTCTCTCTGTGGGTTAATTACTTTCAATACAGAGTTCAGACTTATCTGACCCTGAGCCAAAACCACGGACAGGCTGCAGGAATGACAAACAGAGATAAACAACACAAAAACAAGAGTTTAAAAATAGGAAGGTAAGCCCCACATGGTAATCTACAGCAAAGATAACAAGCAAAAATCATCTTTGCAAGCACTAAGCAGCTTTCTATCTGCAGCATTATGATAAAAAAATTCTTTTCAAACGCCAAAGAAACAAACCCACATTGTATGCACTCACAAAGGGCTACGGCAGAAAAAAAGAAGGAAAGAAAAAGAATCCGAGCTTAATTAGAACTGTGCGCTGATTTGCATTGCATGCTCATCGGTAATCTTGCCTTAAATGGAATCTGAAATTCTTATTGCAATTAGTGATTACTTGAAAAGGGATATGGCCCCCGAATGATTGTTAATTACCGGATCAGGAATAGTACATTAATTCACTGCAGAGGTTTTAATGCAGCGCAATGATGGGAACCCGTTCTTCCATCAATATTGTGCTGCTTGTCACACATAATGAAGTTCATAATGCAAGCCTTTTTCCCCGCACTACTCCCTCTTTTTAAAATGTGCTGTCTAAGCAAAAAGCCCAGACATTGTGTAAAACTAATTCAATGGAGTATGTAAGAAAACAGCTGAGCAATACATTAAAGGAATAGCTTATACATGTTAAAGTTTGGTTCTTCTGAAAGATTATACATATTAGGGTTGGGCAATATTGGGGAAGAAAAAAAAATCACAATTAACTTTGGTATTTAGCCCCAAACCCCTTTTTGACCAATGCCTGAAATTATTTGACCAGCTCCAAAAAAGTCGACTGGAACAAGAGAATAAAACTTAACTTCGTGTCTTTAGAAAATAAAGACGCAAAAGTTGAATGAAGTTTGGCGGCGATGGAAAGACAGCAAGTTAAAGACACTCAATTATTTGTCACTTGCCACCCTGGCCACCCCCTCTTTTGCCRTTCTTGTTCAGAACTAAGCTCTCTTTCTCACATGTCTTTCCATAAACCCCACTTCAAACTAACTAAACTGTCACTAGCACTGGAAATATGGTTTGGTAGTGGTGCAGGTTCAATTAGTAACTGCAATTAAACAAAAGCATCCACAAGATTCCTTACTGTAAGAAAATAATAAAAATACAATATACATTATAATGCAGTCATACTAGCATGTTTTTTGGTCCCACTGAATAGGCTGCAAAAGTCATATTGGAACTTTCTTAACCCCAGTCAGTGTGTATTACTCATGCTCAGCAGCACTTCTATGGAAGGTCTGAGCTGCTGGCTATGACTCTGCAAGAGAAAGGGCACRTCTGCACAGACAACAGCAACATCTTCAAAAAGAATGCCTAATGTTCCTGTCCCACATTTGATGCACTGACAGATTCACGGACAAGATGGAGGGCTGGGAGACAAAAAAAAAGACTCCAAATCTGAACAAGCACGACCTATCGTGCACATGTACTCTCATGGGTGCTAGATTATTCTTGATGGATAAAGAGAGCATTGCAATGAGTGGAATGGCATTAATAAATTGGGAGGATGTGGGACAATAAAGGTTGCGTAACTTCCTATTAAATAAGGTATAAGTGGTTATTTATGGAGCCTGTGCTTCGTCCCATACGACTGAAGCTAGAAGAGTACCCATTCATATATCGTAGATTCATAAAGGCTAAAAGCTACCTGTGCTGTCTGTAATCACAGCTGTTGTGTATCACATTGTTTTCCGGAGAAGAAAATAAATAAAATAAAAAAAATCCTCACACAAACACCAGCCACCGCCACCTCCCACAGGACACATTAGCGAAGTAGAGAGATCCAGTTTGTCACTTAATAAAAACAGCCCACTCAAACAGATGGCTTTGTTCAAACGGCCCCCCAACAC